TGTCGGAACCGCTAGAGAAGATAAGGCGCTTGGTGGATTAGAGGGTAAATCTAAACCTTGAACCGCGTTTAGGCCTCAGAAGACGACGATTTTGTCGAAACGTTAGGCCGACTTAATAAATTTCCACCTATCAACCTCGAACGGCACAAATTACAACCAAACACAAGAACGGGTACCAAAGTTATGAGGAGAGAGAAGTTGAGAACTTCTTGGGAGGTATTTCTTCGGGTAAGAAGCTATGAAAAAATCGCCAGCCGTATGGGCTTGCACTTTCAAATCTTCAAGAATACCTTGACACGTACCAGCTGATTGAGCAAATTCTTCCACCGTCATTAAAGGAAAGCGGATTAGTTGCACAGCACGCCCCAGCACCGCTCGTCGATTCTCGGTTGTTGGTTCGAGACCACGACGAGCACATTCTTCAGTTGACCAGCGGACCACAGCCTAAAAACATGAAACGAGGAATATACACACTGAACCGTCGTGAAGATTGGTTCCGCACCTGGAATAACTGTGCTTCCTTCACTCGTAACGTGTCCCTCGCAAGTACAAGGCATAGGGCCTCCAAATCAATGTCGGTGAACCCTGCAATGCTAAAGACTGAATCCTGCTGAAGATTAACAGATGTCGGCATGTCTTTTTTATATGATAGAATCGAATTACCTTCGCCATTCAATGCTTCCGCTGTGTTTTTATCAATGATTTCCAAGCATAACTTCGCCAGTTGCGGTTCGTCGAATAGTCGAGCCTACATTAAATCGCACAGCATGTTCACAGATGCGTCAAACTGCGAGATGGATATCACGAGATGCTTACCTGTGTTAGCAGCATGAACGCATTGTCGGCTCCAAGACTCTGCTTCAGAAATTCAACGCATGCTGTTTCCATCGCTGGTACGGCGTATTTCTTTGCTAGAGAAAAACAATATTTATTTGATATATTTCAAAAACTAAAGAGAAGCGAAGGAGTGTATAAGAAGAAAACCTGTATATAATGTAGTCATGACGCTTTCCGGTCCGATTTCTACCTCATCAGAATAGAGAAATCGCAAAAGAGCGCGGAATGCCGGGACTTCAACGTCAGGCAGTTCAATTTCTAGCGGATCTACAAATTCTCTTACTTTATGAACGGTAAATTATCGACCGCAACTACGCCCTAAGATGGAGCGTTTAACAACCTCTGGAGTTTTGTGGAGTGAGGCCACCATTGAACATTGCGTCGAAGACAACGGAGCCGATCGATAAAACGAACTTGTGAGCCGGTATTCGCTGAAGTCTTACGATACAATCTCAGTTAAGGGTAATCAAGTCGTAAGTAAACTCCCGAGAACAACTTTATATGTCCGAGAATCCGAAACAGCTTCACAACTACCCTCACCTGCCTCATGTCGTCTTTTCCAACGGTGAAGTACACATCGGCGAGAACGTCTTTGCAGTACATGTAGCTTATTCTTTCCTTGAGTGTAGTCTTCGCGCCTTGCCATCCGAGTGGATTGTCGTCCACGGCGTTTGCAGCACGACGAGACATTCCTGTGCGTACTTTTTCTTACCATTAGCCATATTTTGGTAGGAAACTTTTAAACGAAAAGCATTTGAGGTAGAATCCTCTGAAATAAATTTACCTCCTAGGCTTCTGGAACTTCTGGGCTCAGGTACAGGGCTAGCACGCCGTCCCGCTGCGACTAGATTATTAGCAGGATGTTCAAGATGATTGTGACTGACTAAAAAGTGTAATTATGTGCAAAAAAAACATCAGAAAATCATCGATAACGGAAAACTGCATCGAATTTAAAAAACTGCATCGAATAACGATTTAAAAAATACAAGAAGATGGGAAAATACCTGGGACAATATTAACGGGTCTACTGGACAATCTGGAAGATGATGGACCTGGCTCCTCAGGCTCTCCTGCGCTCACAGCGGAGTTAGCGTTACCTCCCGGGTCTAAACAGGTTTTCTAATAATTAGGAAAACATTCCAGTCTGAAAGATTACTAATACAAAATAATACCTGCATATTTCCGCACCATGTAATTCGCGATCGCAGCCTCAACACGAGGTGTTAGAGAATCTTCACCACTCCTGAAAACCTTATGTAGAATATCAGGTGCTATTTATGCTTGTGATTACCGTTTCATGAAGTGAAGCGGTAGTTAAGTGTGTTATAAGGTGACCTTGTCTTTCGGTTTTGGATGTTTTCCGTGCGTTCCTGGCGGAACGTCAGAAACGCTAGAGCGGAGAAAGCGTTTGGTGGGGTAGTGTTCAATTCGTAAGCTTTGAGCCATTTTAGGCCTTTGAAAACGACGTGATGGTCGAAACGTTGGTCATAATAGAGCTTCCACCTACCAAGTTCGAGGCAGAAGTAAATATTACAATAGAGACATTACATTTCATAGAGTATTTTCAGGCATTGACTTCACGAGTGAAGTCATAGATGGAAAAATTCTCAAGGAGGTGGGGAGCTAGTTTCAATGAAAATCTTAACGACATAGCTAAAAACTAACCCTTTGGCATGTTCGCTAAATTGTTAAGGCAATGCTTTCCTCGTCATTGAAAATTCGCAAAATTTGCGTTTTTGATATGTATATGATATTTAAGAGGTTTGTTAATCCCTCCAGAATTGTTGTAGCTAAATAATATTGTTGGTTAATTCTAAAATGAAAGGAGAGTAACAAAAAATTTCTTCCGCAACACATAAAAAATGTGTAACTCTGTAGCCTTATACGGCTTAGCGCCAAAAGATAAAATTTTTAATGTATGTGGGTCAGCTCTAGTATATAAGCATGCGTCTTCTGGTGAAAATCCACTGCTCAGTTCTGAGCTTTCGCTAGGTACAACCGCAGAACTGGGTCTACAGTAGGTTGAGAGAAGCACGAATTTGCAACAGTTACTGGATACATTTTGGTTACTCAACAATGTGAGGTAAGAAGAAGAATTTGCACTTCTTACCAGCAACAAAGTTTCGTCCGCAACACAAAAAATGTGGAACTCTGTGGTATTAGAGAGCAAGAACATAGTGAAGGGACTCATAGATAGGGCCATTGAAGAGCATTCTTTACGATGAAGACATCGCCCTAATAGGGATCAGCAGACAAAACTAAAACAAAGTACAAAAATGGCAAGAAATGCGGGCATAGATTGGGTTACGACTGATCGAGGAGAGTAATAAGCTCTTGAGCCCCAAGCTGAGCGACCGACGACTCTCTAGGACGCCTAAAGGGAGAATGTGTGATTCAACTCCAACACCAAAGAAGAAGAAGAAGCTGGATGTCAGGAAGCGCGTCAAATCTCACTTCACAGAAAACTACTGTAGTGCTTGCTTCTCCAAGACTTTGGCTTTAAGCGTTAGACCAAAGCAACTGTTTGGTTGTCCATATTATTTGACATTTCGTACATAAAGCTGCTGTTTTGCTTCTTGCGCTGGCATTATGCGATGCAATCGATATAATAAAAAAGAGACATAACCGATGAATATCAATGAACCTTTTTTTCTACAAAGAAAGTAGGAAAACGG